AACAACTTATATATCAAAACAAAACATTCATCAAACGAAATAGACTCCGTTCTTATCGATGGTGCTTTTCCATCTTACAATCAGGTTGTTAATGCTCTGATTAAAGAAATCAATTGGCTTTGAAGCAAAATACAAGTCGATGTTTTCTTTAACACCTTCCACATTTGCATACATTTTCCCATTAAGATGGTGTTGCAGCGAACGAAAAAGATGGTAATCTGATGGTGCCATATCTGGAGAATATGGTGGGTGGGGGAGAACTTCCCAACCAAACTCTATCATCTTGTGGTGCGTCAAACGTGCCATATGTGGACGTGCATTGTCGTGGAGAAGAACACCTTTCCGATTGACGAGTGAAGGGCGTTTCTGATGAAGGGCTTAATTTGAACGGTCCAGTTGCTGAATTTAGATCTCTGCATTGAGATCTATAGATTGAGGAGATCGAAATGAACTACTCCTTTGATGTCCCACCAAATGCAAAGCATCACTTTCTGGGGATGGAGTCCAGGTTTTGGGGTCGGAAGTGATTTTTGTCTAGGACTGAGCCATTGTTCTGTCCAGAAATGGTTCACGCGCATTACGCGCCAGAAGAGACGAAGCAACATTGGAAACGATGATCATTGGAGAGTTCGTGAGGCACCCAGACACCTTCTGCAACGTTCACACGTTCGTGAGGCACCCAAACACCTTCTTTATGGAGTTTTCCCATATTCCTTCGATTTTTAGGTATTGTTTCATGAGAGACATGGAATTTCAGGGCCACTTCACAAGTGTGTTGCCTTGGGCTAGACTCAACAAGCGTCAGAGCATCATTATCAATTCCAACATGTCGGTCCCTGCTATTACAGTTTTTTAAGGCCAATGTCACTTGAACGAAATTTGCTGAACCATTTTTGACACTTACGAACGTTCAAAACATTTCCATAAACTTCTTTGATATTCTTTGTGGCTACGGAGGTGTTGTTTTCCTTCTTGAATTCAAACAGCATTACATGCCAAATGTGTGTCTCGTCGTGTGGCATCACTAATAGGGATTAGAGTATATTAAACTTTACACATTATATAGGCTACACTAATGTGACGTTTAGGCGGTTCGCTTAACTATTGTTTGTTTTCTTGTTTTGAATTTCGCGCAAAGCTACACGAGGGCTATCTGCGCTATCCGTTCCTAATTTAGCAGTATAAACTAGAGGAAAGGCAGCTAGTCATTGCCACCCACCGCCAACTCTTGAGCTTTTCTTTTACCAACGAATAGTGGAATTGACTCACATTATAACGCCCCCACAGCTGAAAGGTCGAGCATGTTTGGTGTGAAGGGGATTCGAACCCGCGACCCGCAGATTGGGAGCCGAGTGCTCTAACCACCTGGCCATGCCGGGCCCGCTTAACTATTATACATGATGTACGTTTTTTTTGGGGGGGGGGTAATGAAAGTGCAACATTAATTTTTTGACGACCTAATACATATATTGTTTACATTCACAATGTTTGTCCATGACAAACATATTTTCTCCTAGAAAGAAAAAATTGTTTTAAGCACGAGATTAAAAAACAGAACAAAACATGTGCAACTGATAAAAGCTTAAAAAATCAGTAACTGGCATTAATAAAAACCAGAGGAATATTTTATCTTACTACACTTTCTGTGTAAGTCCCTACACTAGGCTTCAGTATTGCTATGAGTATATGTATTACAAAGCTCTCCATTCTTTAATATACACCCACATATTATACATATAATTCCTTGTTTATCATTAGTTTAAACTTAGCGATAAAATCATTTAAATTGTTTAAGACACTCTTTATTAAAATCGTTATCTACTACCCAATATTATTGTGTAAGTATGATAAAACCTGATTTAAAGACATACGAAAAACATGTTATGCAATGGGCTTGTTGGTTCAAATACAATTTTAAGTATTGCCATCTAGTGCACGAAAGCTACACTATACTTAAAAAATTAGAAAATGACGAAATGGAAGTTACATTAAGTAATATTTAAAAAATCATATAAAAGAAAGCCACATTGGGTTACTTGCTGTTTCTGCTGCGGGTAATCGAACTCCATATGTCAGCGTTGCAAGCTCGTAAATTTACCGTTGTCACACCGGGAACAATAAAATATTTGTTTGTAGTTAAGCACAAGGCTACACAATGGACTATCTTTGCTGTGTCTCCTACGTGTATCAAAACCCGGTTTTTACCGTTATAGGTTCGTAGACTTACCGCTAAGCCATTAGGTGGCTAGTAAAACAGACAAATAATATCTAAATTATCGTAAAGACATCTTACGGTTGTTTTTTTTTTAATTTTTAGCCAATTAAGCTGAACCTAAAACTAAATTATACATTGAATAACTAGTCTTTGGGACTGACAAAGACGAAATAATGATGGATTATGGATATCAGTCGTTCTAACTTTATTTTTGTTGTACATGTAAAAATGTTTTGATCAGATTAGATGTGATACAGAAAATATCAAAGTCATATGAAAGGTAATCCATGTAGAAATGCAGTGTAAAAATGGGTAAGATAATCGAGAAAAAATTGAAGAATACTTAATCATTTTTAAATGCAACCAGAAAAAGTTACAACATGAGTATAAAAAAGGGACCAACTTTTCTCAAGATTTTTCTGGTTGACTTATTGACTCTTACATCTTTAGAGGGTTTGTCCTATTATGTAATTTTGCTTTTAACTTAGCGGTTTCTGTGCATGTAAAATATTTTGATCAGCTGTTACTACCTTTTTCCAGACAAGCAATATCACTTACTTCTGTAACATTACAAGTGTTTGGCAGATGTAAAGTTCGCACTTCATAAAACAGATGTTTATACAGAGTTTGAGTATGTTATATCAAAATGATTTCGAAGCCTTAAACCATCGTTAAACTCCATGTCGCTTCGTTCGGTCATGATCTATCTGACGACCGTGTTTCTTGACGATAGCTTTGCAGCGTAGTTTCTATTGCCAAAGGCTCTGTCGTAAGGTTGTCATGTTCAAATCACACCATAAGCCATCTAGTGTACGAGGACGGCGGGTTCCCAGCCCTACTTTCAACAGTCCCTATGGAAGCGCATGAATACCCGTTTTATTCCCCTGGTGCTTGAGGTATGCAATGATTGAACGGGAGGGTATGACTGAAAGCCTTATCTTGGTGAACTATTACTTTGTTTCTGTACAAAGCCGATAATTCTATGTGGTATAAAGAGTCCAGAACATTGGTCTGATAGTACGCAGAGTTCACGATGACCCTTGTATCTACTCTCTTGATTTTTTACTTGTCCGTGGGCCATTATCCAGAAGTGACCCTGAATTCCTTCGAAAAAGTAGTGGGACATTCCACTTTTGGAGAAAAAAATCGCTCATTAACATGTAGAAAACAGTACGAGAGTTATCATTTTTCTTAAAGTAAACACACACACTTCATCGAGTGTCAACACATACTGCCATTTTCCTCCGGCTAGACACCGTTCATATAGTTTTCTACAGTAGATCTTACTTTCCTGAAAATATCATGAAAGCAACTTGTATGACTTGTGTCGAAGAAGGATTCCCAGAGGAAATTATCGACATAAGTGCAGCGTCTTAGACCAGTACGCCATTCTCTCATTTCTAAATTCCCAAATACAACATAGGCCTTTATGTCGTATGTTTTAATCTAGTGCCTACGAAAAGAAATTCGCCATTAAACTTATTAAAATGATATTGAAAAAAAAGTTTTAAGTGCGTGCTATAGTCCAGATCAGTATTTGCCAGAATAATTTTGTTTCGTACCAATTCTTCTTTGCTCACTATATGTGTTGCTTCTTCAACAATGAGAAGAAAAACAATAATTTTATTTATATATATTTTATATATGTAAATTTTTTTTTTATATATTTTATTTATATCAATTTAGAACAGGTAAGAAGTTGCTACTTTTAATTAATGTGATGCAACAATATTTATGTATGTTCAGACATACAAGAATAGTGGCAGTCCAGAACTTGGAACAGCCTATAATAATGTTTATGTATGTTCAGACATGTAAGATTGGTGGCAGTCCAGAACTTGGAACAGCCTATAATAATGTTTATGCATGTTCAGAATGCAAGATTGGTGGCAGTCTAGAACTTGGAACAGCCTATAATAATGTTTATGTATGTTCAGATATACAAGAATAGTGGCAGTCCAGAACTTGGAACAGCCTATAATAATGTTTATGCATGTTCAGAATGCAAGATTGGTGGCAGTCTAGAACTTGGAACAGCCTATAATAATGTTTATGTATGTTCAGATATACAAGAATAGTGGCAGTCCAGAACTTGGAACAGCCTATAATAATCCAGGCCTGACCAAATGTCAGGGTCGTGCTACTCCACCATTATAAGTCAATTGGAGTCGCTAGCGTGTCTCTAGATCTCTAGATTTATTAGACCTCGTTTTCGGAGGACGGTCAAAAGAAATTAATGTATTATTAGGAGTTACTTCGAAGTAGAAAGACTAGAGAACATAATTATATCATCTTTACGAATCGTTCTTTTTGGTCATTGAATACCTTTACCAAGACATCAACAACGCTTATAAAGCTATACATTCTGGTGGTGTGTTGAAGTTCTCCAGTTAATGTGCGTTTAAGGGTAGGAGTCATTTCTAATGTGTAACATCTAGCATATATAAATTAACGTTTTTTTCTTTTATATACGTCATTCGTCATTCTAACATGTAGAGTGAAAATGTGATCGTAAAAATAACTCTGAAATACGCAGAGAAAAAAAATAAAAACATTAAATATAGGGTGTTTGATATTTTCCACTGGAAAGGCACCTTAGGTAACACACAGGCTAAACAGGCAGGCCAAAGACCTTTAGTTTCAGTTCTAGTTGTTCTTGATTTGGAACTGCTGATCAGAGTGAGGGCGACAAGTTAGTTGTGCCTGCCGCCTACGCAGCTTCTCTTGGCCAAATAGTGAGATTACATGACAAGTAACTAAACAAAAATAATAGTTATTAATAATCATGTTAAATATTTCAATATTTAGTTAAAACCAAGAGTTGTTAAGAATTATATTTAATGACCTGGCATGGCCTGATGGTCAGAGCACCGATTCGCAACCTGTGGGTCTCGGGTTCGAGTATCATCATCGAAATGTACTCGCCCTTTCAATTGTGGAGGCATTATAATATGACGGTCAATCCCAATTTTTGTTGTCAAAAAGTAGACCAAGATTTGGCAGTGGATGGTGTTAACTAGCTTCCTTTCCTCTAGTCTATCACTTCGATATTAGAGATGGTTAACGCAAATAGCCCCCGAGTAGCTTTGTGCGAAATTCAACAAACAAATGAAAAAAGGTTTAGTTAAAATCAAGATTTATTAGGAATTATACTAAGTGTTTCAAATGAAGTGTTTCCCTGGTTAGTCTGCAGGCTTACGACGCTAAAAATTGGGTTTCGATACTCGTGGTGGGCACAGCATATATAGCCCATTGTGTAGCTAACAACAACCAACCAACTAACTATATAACTTACGAGTTTAAATGTAAATAATAATAACCACAATTAATTAAGAGCACTTACCTGCAAGTTACGTTTTCTTCAAAGTCACAAAACACTCGGAGTTCATCAAAAGCAGTTCCAGGAGGACAGTGAAAACTGTGAGAACAATCAATCATCATATTTCAAAAATATGTAGATTAATAAGGATAATGTGACTACTCTATAAGCACTAATGGTTCAGCTGAAATTGTCAATTTAATTGTGCTCACCTTAGTTTGCGGGTTTGTAACGCTAAAAGTTGGAGGAGTTGGATTCTCGAGGAACAGATAGATTTGTGATTAAAAACAACAAATCAAACCACAGCTGTAAAGCATTTTTGTGTTATACTTAAAGACATACATCTATTTCATAACATTACCCTATAGCAGAACATCAAATTAACGTTCTAGTATGTTATTGTATTACCATGTCTTGTCGTCAAACAATCTTCACGAACATTTGGAAATGCGATATTACTGTTGTTTTAAGCAAAGTTTTGTAGCTGCAGCAATTATTAATTTATCAGGTCCTGTTCATTTGATGAATATTTATTAGGCCAATGGTAAAAAATATCATTTTTCTGAGTTAAAAGATTGAAGTTGATAATAATCTGTCGTTAACTTGCAGCACACTTGTTACGCTATTTTTTGAATTATATGTATACATATATATATATATACAAAAGTGAAACAAAGTATGTACATTAGTTTTTCTATTGCAGCCAGCAAAATGACTGCCTGAAGTGAGATTCTGATACTGAAATTCTTACATAAGTAATAATATTTACGTTTTAATTCCTATAGTTACACAAGCGAAACGATATACCCAAACTACTTCTTTAAGGCGATCAAGAATTGTATCTTTTTTATATCATTAACAATGTTTATACTTTACTCAGTGTCGTTGCACTGTAAGTTTCAGTGTTTTCTGGCATTACGGCTATTGCTAATACCGTCAAAGAAACTCTTTTTAAAAGCATGCGTCAATATATGTTGTTGTGGTGAAAACATGCGTTTTTAGTTTCCATTTTGTATTTTACAATCGATTAAATAAACCATTTCAAAACAGATACCACTCAGATTTAGGAAGTCGATTTGGATGATAAACATATTAAGCCTAAAATTACCTTCGACGTGAATGTGGAAGAAGACCTGTGGAGGTAAATGCTGAAAATGAAAAATTTAATACTGGTAAGATGTTGTCATTATAGTAGTGTAAGTCCAACTTCATCCAAAAGGGGGTTTTTATATGTGAATTGAAAGTTAGAAAAACGGACGTGTTGAAGAACCTTATGGTTATACGTTCATATCAGGAAAATGAGTTTTTGAAGTAATTAAGAGGAGGTTATTTTGTTGACAAGTATAACCACAACAACTAAGGCCACAGTAAGAAGTCAGATGGTTAGGAAATATCTATACAGTCTTCTGTTACAGTTACTACTAGAGGGCGTTAGGGCTAAGACCTGCATGATAAGGTTAAATATTGTTTGTAAAACATGTATAGTATCCTTTAAAATGTCGAATTCAAAGCATGTATGTGTATCTCATAAAACGACATAGCTAGTTGTAGTATGACTTAAAGATATATCTAAGACTTCTTTTCCGACAAATTACCATGATGTCATTGTTCTCCTGAAGCACGAGTATTAAATTTTATAGCTCTTTGGTATAGCTGAGGAATGTAAAACATCCAGTAGATTGCTAACTAGGCAGCTCACGGTGAAAAAATAAAATCTCATATAAAATACAGTATCTAAGTTTTTGATCTTTTCGGGATCATTCAACATCATTATAATCTAAGAAACCCCGGGCATGTAGTAAAGGTGTATAAGTGTGATATAAATCTTGAGAGCGAAATAAAAAGATATATTAATAAAAGTAAAAAAAGGACCTACCTCACTAGTTGGACGAAGAATAAAGTGTAAAAGCTCTACAAAACTTGAAAATAAATATTTCACTAATACGAATAACTATTTCAATAAGATACGAAATGGGGTTATTTACAGTTTAAAGGCATATTTATAAAAATATATCTTAGGTTTTTATATAAGTTTAATAATTATCCAAGAACTACGGAGTTTTGATGAAATAGATCGGTGAAAATATGATAATAAGTTGAGCGAATAATGTTATATATTATAATGGTAATGTTCCTGATACTTCAAATGCTGTTCGGTTAAATGTATGTCGAAAAATAATATTACTGTCACTGTTATTAAAAAGTGTGAAAATATTAATATCGACATCAATAGTTAACAAGAATCATGGAAATAATTCATACTGTATCATTCTTATCAAGAATCAGGAAAACTATTAATATATTTCATATTGTATAATTTTTATCAGTAATCAGTAATACTGTATCATTCTTATCAAGAATCAGGAAAACTATTCATACATTTCATATTGTATCATTCTTATCAAGAATCAGGGAAACTATTCATATATTTCATATTGTATACTTTTTATTAAGAATCAGGGAAACTATTCATATATTTCCTATTGTATACTTTTTATCAAGAATCAGGGAAACTATTCATATATTTCATATTGTATACTTTTTATCAAGAATCAGGGAAACTATTCATATATTTCATATTGTATAATTTTTATCAAGAATCAGGGAAACTATTCATACTGTATCATTCTTATCAAGAATCAGGGAAACTATTCATATATTTCATATTGTATACTTTTTATCAAGAATCAGGAAAACTATTCACATATTTCATATTGTATAATTTTTATCAAAATCAGGGAACTATTCATACTGTATCATTCTTATCAAGAACCAGGGAACTATTCATATTGTATGATTCATATCAAGAATCAGGGACACTGTCCATACTGTATCATTCTTATCAAGAATGAGGGACACTACTCACATTGGTATCATACTTAACAAGATTTAGGGATGCTTCTGATATGAAATCATATTTTTAAAGTACTTCTAATTGTCAGAAATTACTTACCAAGGCTTTGCCCCTGATGAAAATAGGCTCTCTTGTCGAAAAAGTTTAGGATCTTATTGGTTTATTTTATAAATGTGATTTATCCATCTCATTTTGACCCTACGTTTTTCTTTACTATCACGAGCATATCAATATTTAAGGGTATTTCTGGCGCTCAGTCAGTATTTAGGGATAATTATAATAAGAGGCCATTCTTATCAAGATCTAGGTTACCTCTCATACATTTCCGTCCATACTTCAATGCTTGTCGAAGTTTAAGGATACCTGTAATTCACAGGTCATACCTATTCAAATTTAGGAATATAACTAATATTCAAGTTAAAGTTAATCCATTTTAATAATTTGTCTTCGCTTAAATTTAATCATGAGTTAATACTGACTTTCGATAACACGCAAAAAATTTCTTTTTAAAAAGTAATAATGCGTTAAGCTAATTGTTTTCATAAGTTGCATTACCAAAATGCATTAGAGAAAAGCGGAAAAGTTTCAAAAAAGGTAATAAAACAATGGTGGCCAGAAAGTCGTAAGCTATTAAATGGTGATTTTAGAATCTGATAATTTAATGTGAATTTTATAGCAATTCTTGGTGGAAAAAAAAACACATGAGATTTTGGTTCAGAATATCAAAATCAGACATGATTAAATGATACATTAAAAACCGTGGAACTAATTTGTTTTATTATTTAAATGTGATATATACTTTTATGCTCAAGGTAGTGTATAGTTTGACATTAAAACGCTACAAAACGTGTAAATTAAATACTACGAACTGAAACCCCCCCCCCCAAAAAAAAACCCTGTGGCACAGCGGTATGTCTGTGGAACTTACAATGTTTGAAACTTGGTTTCTTTACTCTTGGTGGGCAGACCACCGATTACCCATCATGTAAATTTGTGCATAATTACAAACAAACTGAACCAGAAAAATATTTACTTTTTTTTTGCCCTATTCTCATGTTTAAATTTTAACCTCTTTTTTTAAGCTTTGCGTATCAAACACAAGTAGAAATTTTGAGGACATGCAAAGGCCCGGCATGGCCAGGTGGTTAGGGCGCTCGAGTTGCAATCAGAGGGTCGCGGGTTCGAATCCCCGTCACACCAAACATGCTCGCCCTTTCAGCCGTGGGGGCGTTATAATGTGACGGTCAATCCCACTATTCGTTGGTAAAAGAGTAGCCCAAGAGTTGGCGGTGGGTGGTGGTGACTAGCTGCCTTCCCTCTAGTCTTACACTGCTAAATTAGGGATGGCTAGCGCAGATAGCCCTCGTGTAGCTTTGCGCGAAATTCAAAAACAATCAAGGACATGCAAAAGGCAAAAGCTCTGTCAAGGATGAGCCAAAATAAATAAAAGTACAAAAAAAACTTTGCTTATGAATATGTAATTTCTTTGTCAACAAAAACAAGACTTTAAATTAGTTACTTCAGTCTAATATCGCATATTGATTTCCACAAACTTTAACATCATTACAATTAGATACGGTAAATAACTTCATCTAAAATACCTCCACAGTATTTTTATGCTTTACACTCAAATCTTTGAACACTTTAGCACAAAGCAGATAGATCTGTGCTATTTGTACGGAACGAGGCCCGAATTCTTGCGTTTGAAGCTTACCGCTAAGCCCAATTTCTCAATCAATGATGCAAGTTAATTTATCTAATATTTGTTCAAAGTAATCAACCAAGGAGGACAAAACTTACCAGCTATACTGGACAGACAGATGGTAATGACAAGACTGACCAGCTACATCAGACAGACATATGTCAACCAAATGTTTGGTAATTTTAACTTTTTAACTATATTGGCTCTACAGTGACTGTATCACAGGAAAATACTCAACTTTTATTCAAAATCTCTGTGTAGCAACCAGTGTATAAATATTTATTATTGTAAACAACTGATAGCATTTACTTCAATTAAATAAACTGAGTTCTGTGCTTACATTTTAAATAAACTTTTTTCCTTAAAGATTCGTTGATGATCACATTAGCTCTTTTGCACATTCTGAATGCATATTTATTTTAATTACTCTGTGTAACACACACGCATACTGCAATGTAATAAAAAAAGGAAAATGCTTATAACTTAGACTGACACATTTGTTATAGCTTAATGTATTATACTTAGTCTTTAAACATTTAAGCTTAAATATGAATACGGTGTGGAATCGTTCTGAAAAATAATGCTGTTTTTTATTCCACCTCGTAAGGAAGTCTTGCATTGAAGAACCAAACCTGTATCTTTTTGTTTTGGTTTAATTCCAGACTTCACATATAATGTTTTATAAAATATTTGCTACTTACTTGTAATATTCGCCGTTAGATTTGCAGAAGTAAAATTTCCTGCATTTTCGAGCGACGTCACCTACATAGCCGACTCTTCCATCACAGCGAAATCCCAACTCATCCGGGTACTTATGTGACTGGGATCTGAATAAGTATTCCGTATTGGTACCTAAAAACAAAGTGGCTGGAGAACAAAACATAGGTGTTATTTCTTTCTTTTGTTTTAATATATTTGATATTTACATTAATTTACTAAGTTGTTCTTTATTTTGTTTCTGGAGGTTGCTCGTGGTCTCTCATCTGTTTTTTTTTTGTTTGCTTAACATTTTACAGTTGATGTGGTATTAAAGAGAGAGAAATGTTTGTTTGTTTCAGAATGTTCGCTCAAGGCTACACAAAGAGCTATCAGCGCAAAGCTGTCCCCAATTTTGAGCTGATAGAGTAGAAGGAAGGTAGCTATTCAACAGCACTTACCACCAAATTTTGGGTTACTGCTGCCTGACCGTAGCTATTCAACAGCACTTACCACCAAATTTTGGGTTACTGCAGCCTGACCGTAGCTATTCAACAGCACTTACCACCAAATTTTGGGTTACTGCTGCCTGACCGTAGCTATTCAACAGCACTTACCACCAACTTTTGGGCTACTGCTGCCTGACCGTAGGTATTTAACAGCACTTACCACCAACTTTTGGGCTACTGCTGCCTGACTGAATAGTGGGGTTTGGCCGCCACTCTTATAGCGCACACGTCCCGGCATGGCCAGGTGGTTAGGGCGCTTGACTCGCAATCTGAGGGTCGCGGGTCCGAATCTCCATCACACCAAACACGCTCGTCCTTTCAACCGTGGAGGCGTTATAATATGACGGTCAATCCCACTATTCGTTGGTAAATAAGTAGTCCAATCTTTCACTGTTAACTTGGGGACGGCTAGCGCAGATAGCCCCCCGTGTAGCTTTGCGCGAAATTCCAAACAAACCAGCTTATGGCTCCTAAGTGTGGAGAACTTTTCTGCGCCAACGGGCTGCAAACTATTTAGAAGAAATTGGGGTTTCTGGGTGTTTTATATACACATATCTTTTCTCTCTAACTAGCATTGTTATATCTCTTCTGAAAAACAATGTAGTTAGTTTGTAAGAGCAAACTAAATTGTTATATAAAGAGGAGTATAGCTAATATTCGTCGTGTACGTCATAAATTTCAAAACTGTTTCTCAAGTATAGAGAAATTCTCGCATAAACAGTGTTAAATCTCACGGAATAAATATCCTCTGTGAATTATTTTACGTTGTACACCTGTTAGGGAAGGCAATACCTGAAAAACAGCAATAAATAAAACAAAACAAAACAATAGATATCCTCTGAGTACTCTGTGAATTATTTTGCGTTCTACACCTGTTAGGGAAGGCAATACCTGAAAAACAGCAATAAATAAAACAAAACAAGATAATGCGACTCTAATCTGATGTTGTTCAACTCTAATTCTTGTTCGCCAATTATAAAATCATTATAAAGCTTTATTTCAGTAGACAGTTTTTGTCACCTTTGGAATGTTCTCAATCCACCGGAGATGGCGCTCTTTAACCTATTTTTCTTTTCAAGGTTTCAGGGTCAAACTGCCCTCTGTGGTTGTTGGTCATGTTGATTAATTTTGTGTTGTGTTGTGTATGAAATAAAGAAGAATAAAGATAGGTGTGGTGGTAGCTGTGCTTCGTTCTTTGTGCTGGTAGCTGTGTTTCGTCCCCGGAGTCTGAGAAGGTACATATATAATAATCAATCGTATACGCTACCAGTTTCTAGTAAAAGCCGCTGGCTAAATGACCTTATATAACTAAAGGTCTTTGACCGACTGATATTAGGGCTTGCTCGTTACTATATTGGCACAATATAAACGTTACCTGATTTAATACATTACAGAAAAGAGGCTACCAGGTTCCACGAAGCGTTTTCGTGAAAAAATAGCCCTTTTGCTCCCTCCCCCCTTTTTTCTGCGTTAGAAATAGAATCGTGTATCTTCAAAAATGGCAGCCTAGAAACTTGAGTTTATCAGTATCAGACCTGTAAGTGTATTCTAGTTTATAATTCAGTTATACTCAGCCGTATTGTATTGGTTTAAAAAATATAACGAACTGAAATATAGCACAAAATAAAATTAAAACGTGCTATGAAAATTAGTATTTTTTGTAGAATAGAGCAGAGTTTCAGAATTATTAATTAAATGTTCTAAACTGCTAACAATTGACAATCACCAAAACGCTAGCAAACATCTTACAAAAGCATGCTTTTTTAATTAATGTTTAGTCAGTAACAATGCATGACCATAATGCCAAATACGTTAATATTCATTCCATGTGCTATTTATGAAATATTTTTGCTAATGCATAAGATTTTAACGGGTGCAAAGTGCTTACGTTGCTCGATAAAAGCATGCGCACAATTTTAATGAATCCTAGCCAAGTAGCGAGCGTGAAAATATTCTGACTTCCATCAAACTTGAGGTGACCAGTAATGAAAGAAAACTGTTGGGAACAAGATATGGATATGTCCTTTTTTTGTCTGAAAAGAGTTTGTAACAAAGACAAAGCATAGCGATAAAAATCGCTGAAGGTGAATAAGATTACATGTTCTGTATTAATGTCACATATCACTGAGCGGCCAAGATTTTTTGTGGATTATTTGTTTGATTGCATACCAGATTATGCGATATCAGACGTCAATGCTGGGTGTGTTTTTCTACTAGATAATTCTTTAGCCATGTACGTAATAAACGTGAGAATAATGAAACGCAAAACAATGACTGCAATGTTTATTGCGATCGTAATAACAATAAAATATAATTACAAGTACCACTCAAATGAAACGTTGTGTAAACTCAGGTTGACTCTTGCTAAAAATCTGTTATATGTTTAATCTTAAAAACTAAAAAAAAAATATTTTTTTAAACAAC